GCGCCGCCGCTTCTGTAATCCCTCTTCACCTTTCATCTCCTTCTCTATCTATGTATTTCCTTCTATTGGATGAAAAGTAGAGATATTGTATAATATTCTCGTTATTGGTCCCTCTTGAGCTTGCTTTTAATTTGAAATCTTTTGGATTTGTTTATTTGAAGCGTACTTATTCAGTTGAAAATGGGAAAGTACATGATTTTTTTGTGTGATCCTTTACCGAAAAAGTGAAAAAAAATCGGTATATTTCAAGAACAGGAAATGACTATTGTATGCACTTATTGGCATAGAACTATTCTTTTTCATTAAAGAAGTATAAGCTGAATACAATTAAAAGAAAACTTTACGGAATTAAGAAAATCAGAGTTACATTTAATTTCCAATTGTTTTCATGAGCAGATAGCATTGGGTTTCCCATTCATTTCGCATTGTTTTCATAAGCGGACAATGTTGAGCATTTTTTGTGTCATTAGAGCATCTCCAACAGCTTCCCCAAAATTTTCTTCAAAATGAAGAAACAAAAGTCATATTCTCCAAATTATTTTTGCTCCAACTCCAACAGCTTCTCCATTTTGAAAAATCGCATTTATTACTATAATAAAGCTCTCCCCAAAAATTTGGAGAATGCTGCAGATTTGGGGAAGGCTCCCTATTTTTTCTCCTCCTTCCCTATTTTGGGGAATGGGATGGAGAATCTGTTGGACCAAAAAAAAGCTCTATATTCTCTAAATTTGAGTATTTCAAGAAGATGGGGAAGCTGTTGGAGATGCTCTTACATTTCTCCATACCTGAGTAGATGAGGTACAGAATAATTAGCATTCTAGACCTCCTGCATTTGAATAGAGCATTTGGCTTTTTTTTGGCCCTCTTTCCATTTACCATGTGTTACGATGCTTGCTTCAGTGAGTGTCATTATGTGATTTCTATAAGTTACATCAATAACCTTAACTCAATATTCTTCAGGAATATTTAGGGGTGGTGACCCGACCAATCAACCCGATCCAACCTGACCCGTTTATATTAAGTGTGGATTGAGTTATATGAGTCCGGTCATAAATGGTTAATCCGAACTGACTTGTTTATTAGATGTGTAAATTAAGATTGATCCGAACTGACCCAACAACAACTGACCCGTTTAATTCCAAATGGGTTGAGTCCAGGCTCCAAATATGAAGATTAAGGGCTTGTTTGGATTGAGGGGAATAAGGAAGAAGGGAAGTTAGGGGAATCATTCACCTTGTTTGGGAACATTTAGGAGGTGAAGTTATTCACCCTAGTTACCTTGTTTGGGAACATTTAGGAGGTGAAGTTATTCACCCTAGTTCCCCTTGGTTCACCCCTTAATAGTATAAAATTTGTTACAGGTGAAGTTATTCACCCTAGTTCCCCTTGGTTCACCCCTTAATAGTATAAAATTTGTTACCCCCAAATTAGGGTGTAACCAAGGGGAACCCTTCCCTTTTCTCACCTAGTTTCCCTTAACTTCCCTTAACCTCATTGAAATCCAAACACACCCTAAGAGCGATTCTCACAAAACTTCTTTTTTCAGAAACCCTACCTGAGCTTAATTCAAGCGCGCTTCTTTGAATCTGAACCCTAGTTCCTCATCCTGCTTGGGTCCAGGCCGTGGATCTCTGATCTCCGTCGCGGTTGCCGGCGAAGGAGGCGATCGGGGTTCTATTTGACCAGATCTCGTTATCTGGTGCGTTTTCTCTCTCGTCTATTGAGATTTTGATGCGAATCTAAGGGTTTTGTACGATATAGAACTGGATTGATTTGATGAGTTAAAGGGTTTTTTCTTCTGTTTACTGTAGTAGAGTTCACAGTGCAAATGAATCGAGCCTTTGGCTACTTTTATTTATTTATTTTGACTTATTTATTTGAGCGTGATTGCTTCATTGACAAAGTCTTTTGATAAGATTGGAAATGGTGAATAGTTAGAGAAAGTAGGACATTTTTTTATTATAATAGATAGATCCATCATCTGATTAAACACCTTTTTAAGGGTGAAAAACAATTTGTTAAGTATTTTGATTTTCTGATATTAGAATCTTAGGGGACAGAAGCCCTTGGATCTGGACAGAAATTGTTGAACTTTTTAATATATGCTATACATTTGAATATTTTGTTGCTTAGCTTCAATACCTAAAGTTCTTTTATATAGACATCTAACACAATAAACTTTAGACACTAGAATATCACTGCACATGTGCATATGGATTTATGTGTACATATCAGCATGTATTCAACTTGCCCTGGGATACCATTCTGTCATCTTTAGTTTGTCAGATGATGGTTGGATATAGTATCCACGATATTGAAGTGAGTTTTGATAAACGGGTCATTCGGGTTATATGGGTCGGGTCGGGTAACCCGTTTAATAAACGGGTCGGATCGCATTGACCCATTTATTAAACAGGTCGGGTCGGGTCACACTTACACAGGTCGGGCCAACTATGACCCGACCCAACCCAACCCGACCCCTTTGCCACCCCGAATATTACGCCATTACCCTTGTGTTGTTACCAAGAGAGTTGAAGTTATCATACATCCAAGTTTTCAAATCAATTCAGAGTGACCTTTTTAGATGCCTATAGTTGAGAGTGCATCGTTGCATCCTGAGTATATTTCTTTTACGTTCCATTATGCATAAGCTATGTTACCCGGATATTTATACCATGATGCTGTACCCGTACTCGAGACGTCCTGTACCCGTACATGTACCTGTACCCAACACTTCTTGGACACTTCTTACATATATGCATACATTCTTTATATACTTCTTGGGCATATATCCTACATTTACATCCACTTATGAAACTTTTTGGACAAGGGTGGGGTTCATTTAAGTCATATTCAGTTAAAAACTACAATTTCGAAGAGTAACTTGCATGTCTAGCTCAGAACTATGCTTTCAGCGACGAATTCCAGCCGTGTCCCTGTACCTTACCTTTTACAAATTTGACCTGACCTGTGCCCGTACCCACACTGGTACCAGTGCCTGTGTCCATGCAACTTAGCGCACAAATATATAATGTATTAAGAGTAAGATTTGTGTGATACTATGTGTAAGCTAGATCAGTTAATGGGCCTGAATATCAATGTCTGAGAACATGCAAGGAATACAAGATCAATTATCTTACACACAACTATAGTTCAAATTTAGGTTTTTCTGCATAGGTAATGCAAACACTCCTCTTTGTGGTCAGGCTTTTTCAATGTTTTGAAAGGCATTGTATTCCTAATTTAGTGCACTACTTAGGAATTGACAAAAGCACTATCTGTTTCAGATGGATTCCTGCACTATTACTAGAATTGAAAAACTTCAGAGTGGGAACTCTTTATATGGATTTTGGAATGAAAATAAAGATAACACAGAGGCAATGACATGTAGATGATGTAAATGTAAACGTACATACTGAAAAATAATTTGGTAAATGAACCAAATGAGAACTACTACAAGTTTCCTTTGGTTCACAAACTTGCTATCATAAAGGCATGGATAGTTTAATACATAACTAGGAAGATCGTGTACTTAGTTTAAGCATTAACATTATTGTTAGCACAGGACTGATTGTATACATTCTTCAATTGAGTGCAGGGCAAAGAATGCAAAGTTTAGCTATTTGATATTACGTCACTGAGAATTGCATGGTTTATTGGAATCCTTCCCTCTATTAATTCAATTATTGGCAATTCCCTCGCTCTGACCATTAATTCCTCAACTATGTGCAATTCTCCACATCTCAGCCTTCTCCTTTTCTCTGACCATTAATTCCCCAACTATTTGCAATTCTCCACATCTCAACCTCCTATATACGTTTTATGGACTTTCATTCAGGTGTTTCAGAGATGAATGCTAGTTTCTCAACAATATGCAGGCGTGTGGGTCTGCGGGACCTAGTCTCATGTGCCCCTGTGTACACTGGTGCTAGTGGTATTTACACCATTACCTTGTTAAAAACTCACCTATCTGAATTCTTCTATTAGTAGTTCCACTAAATTAAAACCAAATATATGTCTTATTTTTAGAGGAATCTGGAGGGCTGAGCTTGGTATTCCGAAGATGGGCCACCAAAAAGACTGCTGGTTCTACCAAGAATGGCCGTGACTCCAACCCAAAGAATCTTGGTGTGAAGAAGTTTGGTGGAGAGGTGAGTACGCTGTCGAAAAGCTTGAGCTCTTATCATTTCCTTTGCTATTATTTGATTAATTTTTGTTAATTTTGCAGAGAGTGATACCTGGTAACATTATTGTTCGTCAACGAGGCACCAGATTTCATCCTGGGGATTATGTTGGCATGGGAAAAGATCACACTCTGTTTGCCCTAAAAGAAGGGCAAGTGCGGTTTGAACGCCACAAACTGAGTGGTCGCAAGTGGGTCCATGTCGATCCCCCTAAAAGAAGGGCAAGTGCGGTTTGAACGCCACAAACTGAGTGGTCGCAAGTGGGTCCATGTCGATCCAAAGGAAGGTCACATAGTTCATCCCCTTTATACGACTGTTGCAGCCGAAGCTGCTTGATGAACCCAATTGTGTGCTAGTTAGGAGATTTGTTTTGGGATCAGGTGACTTTAGCTTGGAAAATAAGTACATCCTCATGTTACTAGTCTATCTGATGCACCTACAGAACCTAAATTTGTACATTTATTGTATGACGCTCCTTTGCGAAAGTTTACTTTTGAGATTTTTGGTAAAATGATAATGCAAACTGAGAGTCAGTGAATGGCTTCACTGGTTAGTGGTGAACTTTTGTACTCTATTTCAGCAGCATCTAGATGCATTTTTGCATCTTGTATATGATGCGCAACCATGAGCGGTGTTGCAACAAGAGTATGGTTTGGTTTCTTGGAAGTTCGAAGTAATTATTATCAGTTGGTATGAAGTAGTATTGCTGTTAATGCACTTCAATATTTGGTTGGATAGATCCCCAAAAGGAGAGGATATCATTCACTTTTGAAGTTAAAACTTGTAGAGGAGATATCATAAGTGATATTGGTGTAATTTTTTGGCTGTGATTTTTGCCACATCACTGCAGCAGAAATACTAAACTTTGAATAAGCCTTTCCCGTATCCCCATGTTTTGAAGGTACTCGCCATGCTAAAAGATCTTTAATTGCCACTCCATTTATGCCCTTAATCACCATAAATCACCTCAAAGGAGAAACCACTTATCCTTGCAGAACAAAGTCCACAATTTCTGATTGCTGAAATAACTTTTACAAATGTGTCGAGGAATACATTGCCTTTGTTACACTGTACAAGAATCTCAGACGAAAGCCAGAAAGACCTGAGCACTGGGGTTGTCATGAAGCTACAGAAGGTATATGAGGTGATTCACAATCAGACGCATCAAAATTTGTGTCGCCAGATTCAAACCTTCTTCGGTTCTCAATAGCAGCCTGTACTCTCTGATCGAACTCTTCGTCCGAACCTGATAACATGTACCGCAGCTTGAAGTTTATACGGTTTTCCACCAGAACTTTGTGTCTTGGAATTATTCTACCCTCTAATGAATAACTCAAAAATCTGCAAGAATATGACTTCTTAGTTCAACCGAAAAAGAAAACCCAGCATCTCCTAGAATTGCAAACAGTACGTAGATAATGCAGGATGTATAGAAGGATAACAGAAGATTAAATTGTTTGAAATAGCGGGCACTTCAATTATAGAAAAAACGGTTAATTGCATACACCACCTGTATTGTGAAAGTGTAGCCACTTAAAGCCCTTAGCCTCTATACTAATTTAGGAGGACTTGCATCCTCCAACATGAAATTACTTCCCAACTTAGGCTAAGATATTACATGTTCAACATTAATTTTTACCTTCGGATTAACTCTGAAAAAAAACTAAACTGCCGTCTAAGTTGTGGGTTAAAAAATAACAGTCGTCCAAGATGTTAAGTGCTTTTAGGGGTGTAAGTAGCTACATTACCATAGTACAAGGGGTTTGTCTGCATTTAATCCTAATAAAATGTTCTGTTCAAAGTAAACATAGCAAGATATGAAATGGCGGAGAAATAAATTGGTTGAGGTAGTTAACTTTTCTAAGTGTGGGCACTTCGGGAGGAGTCAAATCAGACACATAGGTATACACATTCAATATGCACCCATCGGACACCAAATCCGCATGCATGAATTACAATCTTCCTAAAAGAAAATGCAACACAAACTGAAAAACATTTAAACAAGAGACTCATAACTAGTGGCAGTACGGGCAGAATCAGGATGTTCATCTAAAGGGCTTTGTTTAGTTCTAAAAATAAATAGAATACCTTGGAAATTCAATAAGATCCTTCAGTGGGCGTACCATAACTCTCCTCAAATACAGATACTTGGGGCGGACGATGTCCAAATTGTACCTGAGCAGCATTGGGAAGTCAGCTACCATCACACCTAGTAACCGAGGTCGAATTCCTAGTGATAGATAGTAGTTAACATTGACCTCCAACTTCTTTATGATACTGCATCCTACAAGTTGCGGGTCAAAAGCAATCACTTTTGCAATATCAGTTCGTGTCACACAAGCTTTTGTTAACAAGAAAATGACCTGCGAAAAGGATACGAAGATTGAAATCTAAACATTGCACTGAAGGAGAAAAAGAAGCATTAGAATGAGAAAGGTGCCAAGAATAATTTGTATAAATTCCATTGAGATAGATATTATGCAACATAAAAATCTTTCAGAAAATCTAGAGGTATATTTTCCTATTGAAAGATACAAGGAGAAACTGGTTTAATACAATCTTCCATGAATAAACATGACCTAGAATACACACTGTAGCACTCATTTTTATGGATAACAATCTATTTGAATTCGTGCAGCTAAACAAAGAGAACTGATTACTGTTGTCAGACAGCAGACAGCATCTGAGACAATGCAAAAATGTATCCTTCGACAATATAAAAAGTTGATTTTCCCTGGAACTTATTGTATATGATTAACCAACTGATTCACATTAGTCCCACTCCTGGTTGTGGATCTAGGATCAAGTAGGAAAGATCATCAAAGAGCAGCAAGAATTCCAATAAAATAATGGTCTCACGCCAGAAGAATGCATCTACAGAAATACTTTGAAGTAACCAAGTGTATTCATTTGCCAGAACAGAAGGAAACTTACCAATATATAATGCCTTACCAAGAGGCAACAACCATGAACTCCAATAAGAATTAGATACCACTTGATGCAATAATCCGGAAGAGCATGAGATAACAAAACTTAGTTTACACAGACAAACTTTACCATCCCGAATTACTAATAGAAAATCTAGCTAATTAGTTAGCTTTTTAAGTATTTCTTTCTCAGATTGAAGATAGGAATTCATAAAGTGTTGATTGAAGTCCAAACAGAAAAGGAAATTGATACTCTGAACAAAATAAGTAAATGAAAGCTACAAGGTAAAAGCATTCACAAAACTATACTATCAAATTGGAATGAGAAGCATAGGACTAACCACTGGTCGGATTTTCTTGTAGAGGCTATATGTTAGCAAGGGCGGAAACTTCACTATAGCACTACCAATGGCTTCTTCTTTGATGCCTAGGTCCTTCAAAAATCGTACCTGGACATGAAAAAGAAAAGATGCTTGGTATCAGTGAGATTAATGATAGAAGAACACTTTTGAGGCTCTCTTATCATGTTACTGACTATGTATAACATGTATTGAAATGAAAAAACAGAAACTCCTTGATACAGCGTGCCAAAGAAAGAAAAAGGCTTTCACATCTACTGTACTTCTTTACAGCATTTTATTTAATGAAAAAATGTATCCAAATTCTCTTTTTTCTTCGAGAAAAAGAAGAAGAAAAGAAGAAGGTAAGGACAACTTCATCTAACAAACTTAAATTTGCGCTATCTGACACATCTTGCACATATGGAAGATAATACCTTGGGTGCAATAGTTGTCTCCAGATCAACACAGAAAATCATGGGTTTCACTATAAGTATTCTCTTCATTCCATCACGTCGAACACCAAGGTAATACAGGTATTTCACAAGCGGCTTCCACCTTTCCTCTATGCTGCAGCCCATCAGTCGTGGCTTGAACGCTAATAGCTTGCAAACATCCTCAGTACTCAAGCCAAATTCCTTAAGGTATTGAACCTGAAAACAGAAAGTTGCAGTTCACATTTAACAATGAACTTAATCAAGTCCATAGATACTACCCATCAGAAGCTTATACTAAATTTCATGTTTTAGTGTGTGTGTGTGTGTGTGTGTGTGTGTGTGTGTGTGTACATATATAGACACATGCGTCTTACATGAAATTTTGAACGAAGAATGTTAACTGTATTTTGCAGAGGACTAGTGATAAATAAGATAGATACAACTAGTAATCAATCAACCAGCTTAAACCTCCTATCAACCAGAATATATCCAAATTAAATATCTGCAATTTTAAACTTCAACTAAATAGTTGGCATCAACAAAAGGATTGGTGCCTCGTGATCAAGGTTGATCGTGTCTCAGAAGGTAAACATTAGATGCCATCAAAAAGTGGATGGGAAAAGAAATGGATTTCATTATATGTAAACCTAGGGATCATCTGGTGAGGAATTATAAATGGGTTCAATTACAATAGGAGGTCACTACACATTCAAAGGCTTTCCTATACTTCAAGAACATATATAGGATATAGATTCCTACAAAATATTATATAAGTCAGCAACATACAGCTTAAGCAATCCATATACTGAGGGAAGCTTTAAGGCAATATCACATTAGAATGTAGGATGCATATAGATGGAGTTTCATTAGTAAAAATGAGGTCTTATTGTTGCATCAAAGCCATTTGAGAAGTAAGTGGAAGAATTTAACATGAATAAGCAATTAAAAGGTTTGTTCTATCTTCATAATAATTGGAAAGTTAAGAAACAACATGGGTAAACCCATAAATTACTGGGACAACTAAAATAAAGTGTCAATCTAAATAACTAGTGAAATGCAAACACCTTACTATTCATTTCATCAAGGCTAAAGAACCCAAGCACTCGAGGATAATCAAAGACCATAGTGCCAAAATCCTCCTTGTTCATACCCATCTCCGAGTAAAACTTTACACGTGACACCAACTCCTCCATGGTCAAAGTCAACACTTGTGGACATCGAGTGACAACAAAACCGACCCAGTCCCTCCTCACTCCACTCTCAATGAGATAGTCAACAATCTGATCCATTTCTTCCAAGCTTCGCTCCAAAATCGAGCTTGCTTTTACCAATACAACACCAAGAGACCTTCCCCTCACATGAATCGTCTTCAACCATTCTGCTACCCTTCTCACTTGCTCAAGATCACCAGAACACATGCATATTGCCTTACCAATTTGTGGGTATGTCATTGAATTATGCTTCAACCACCTAAAGCACACATGGCACTAAAAAAAGCTAAAACTTTGTATACACTAAAGAAAATTATTAATCAAAAGATTCTTACTTGACAAGGGCGACAACTCCAGAGCTCTGAATGCAACTCTTTGCCCTCACATTGAACGACACGTGATTGAACTCCGAAACCCCTTTCATGGCAGCCGCCCCAATCACAACCCTATCAATAAACCCACTCAGTCTCGAAACAAGATTGTCAGAGTAGTTCACACTAAGCTTCCCAGCTCTCAAGGCCCCCTTCAAGATCTCAGCAGCGACCCCTCTCCTGACCTCAATCGCCTTCCTAATATCCTCCTCGTCGCTCTCAAGAACAGCTCGATTGAGATCGATTGGGTACTGAAACTGCTCGGGTTTGGGGAAATCGACGGATCCAGGGAACCTAGCGATCCTTCGAGTCGCGAGAGATGCTTCCTCTACGATTCTCTTTCTCTGAAGCTCATCTTCGTCTAATTCTTCTTCTTGCTCGTCGTTGTGAGGTGCTGAGCCTTGGGAGTGGAGGAGGAAGAGAGACGTCGACTTGGCGTTCTGGCGGCGGGAAAGATTGGAAGGGTTTAGGGTTTCGATTGTGGGTGAGATTTTATCTGATGATGTTGCGCTGATTTGGGTGGAGATGAGGGGTTTGAGGGAGGAGGAGGGAGGGGATCGATGGAGAGTGAAGGAATTAGGGTTAGGGTTAGGGTTAGGGTTAGGGTTTGGGCGAAAGGAGCCATGGAAGATTGAGGAGGAGAAGCAAGGACAGCGGTGGTAGTGGCAGATCATTGAATGGGGAAAGAGCTTTGTTTGGTTTCTTCCCTCCAAATTTGCAACGGGCGAGGTATCATGAAGCAAGAAGATAATGAGATAAAAAGATATTTTGGGTATTGATTGGTATCTCATGTAGCAGTGTAAAAGTTCACAAAACCCCCTGCACTGTTTTCGGCAACCCGCCGCCCCCACCTAAATCGGCCGGGTTTCTTTTCCTCTCTCGCACTGATTTGAAACAGGGGGGGTCCTAATTTGAAACTTTTGGAAGGTTATGCAAGACAACCAAAGATCAGGGGATTTTTGTGGAATTAACTCTTTTTTTTTTTAAATTCACTCTGGCCTTTTCTTCTGTCAGGTAAAATAGGGGCTGCGTAGGTCCCTCTGGAATTGCGAGGCAACAAAGATGGAGGTTTGTAGGTCCCTCTGGAATTGAGCTATAAATATAATATTATAAAAAGATGTCATATTAATTGTCTCACTTAAATTATCTCATTACCCCATTTTACCTCACTTTATCCCACTCAAATTATCCCATTGGGTAAAATTACCCCATTGGAACAATTTATCCCAAATTACCCCAAATTACACCAACGAATAACCCCCCTGACTAAATACACAGCACTCTACTTGTGTTGTATTACCAAAATAATGTAAAGTCCGTAATACGATTGGCATAGCTCTAATTAATATTAGGATACTAACAAGGATCTTTTACAAAATCACAATTAAATTGTGATATCGTAGAAACTAATGTGAGTAATTTACTTGAAAAATGTTAAAATATTGTTTATAAAAGGCCTGATTATTCCAGATCTAATACACATACTACGTTTGCAACAAAAATTTTGAGCTCCCACGGGTTCACCATAAAAAAAAATCGCATTCTATTTGGACGCACAATGGCGCAAGGCAGCACAAGTCCCTTCAGTATCAAACAGCCAAAAAACATACCCACTTAAATTTTGAAGTACGGCTCCGCACACAATTAAGTTGAGAATGCACTTTAATAAGGATGTGGGTTTTGACAAACACATGTCTCTGGAGCTTGGTTTAGGTTCTATGTGGATCATTTTATCGCGCAAGCAAAATAAAGTTTGGGAAATTAAAGTGCAACCCTACACACAACTAAGTTCGAAAGGAAATTTAATAAGAGTGTGGTTTTGATAGACGCATGTATGTGGAACTTGATTAGGGTTCTATGTGGATCATTTTGTCTGCAAGCAAAATCAAGTTGGGAAATTAATGTCAGAGCCACACCCTTATCAAATTCCCTTCTCAACTTAATTGTGCGTGGGGTTGTTCATCAATTTTCTAACTTCATTTTGCTTGGTGACGATAATCCACAAAGAACCCAAACTAAGTGCCCGTTTGGATCGGGTATTTTGAAAGGGAAAGGAGGGGGAAAGCTGCAAATTTGTCAGCTTTTTGGTAGCTTTCCCCCAAAATCGCCTCAGCTGCCAAAAAGCTGACAAATTGACAGCTTTCCCCCTCATTTCCCCTTTAAAATACCCGATCCAAACAGCCCCTAAGCTCCACAGACACGTGTCTGTCAAAGCCACACCCTTATCAAATTGCCTTCTCATCTTAATTGTCTATGGGGTCAATTTCCCGACTTCATTTTGCTTATAAACAGAACGATTTTCATAGAACCCAAACCAAGCTCCATAGACATGTGTCTGTTAAAAGTTAAAACCACATCCTTACCTCAACTCTTAAGGTCGGTGCTACCTATCACAAGATTTATTTTGACATATTATTTAGTAAATTAATTTGTCTTCTTTCTAATCCCTCTGGATTATTATTCTTATTACTAAATCATAATTTTGGTTTTTGTTGTCCTACTAAGTACTAAGTAGTTGAAATCATAATTTTCCCTGTTGTCCTACTAAATCATATTTTTTTGGTTTTCGTAATTTATTTTCTATTGTTGTTGATGTTGAAGGTATTGCATATTTGTTGCTCAAATCTTTAATAATTTCATATTAGTACCTCAAACATTTGAATTTCTCATAAGTTCTTCACATTCCAAGGGGTTTTGCAATTTGGTCCTTCAATGACCAAATCAATTCGCAGTCAAAATAAATAATCAAAAGCATGTTAAAGTCATTTAAGGAGTAAATGTTAGACTATTTTGTTAATAGTTTTATATTGTAAGTACAAATTAACATATCATAATTGGTGATTGTTTGA